CTGGCTAAGGAGTGTGTTGTGATGGGCGACCGGTAGAACAGAAGCCTCCGCAGTGAGTATGACTGGCTGAAAATGACTAATGGGCCGAATCAGATTTAGGTGCTCGAAGGAGAGACAGAGCTTCCGAGGAGGAGCATGCTTCCAACGGAATATTTATCACTGTACAAGTTTTCCTCAACAGAAATGTTTTTGAAGGAGCCTAACAGGGTGGCCGTTTACGCACAGCAAAAAAACGGAGGAAGACAGAAAATCTGCAGTTGGGCTGCTTTCTGCATATGATCTGATCTGCTAGGCAAGACTTCATTTAAAAAAAGGAAGCTCTAACTTTTCAGTAGGTGTGCATGTTTAAAGGATGCAGACAGACCTGCGGGGAACTCCTTGGCGTAGGGTACAAAACTGCGCATACACTCCAGCACAGCGGTTGGTTTGTCCACACACTGCTGAACTCTCATCAGGAAGTCCAGTTTTGCGAGAACGTACTCCAGCTGACGAGCCTTGGCTCCTAGGCTGTCACAGTGTTTGGCGAGCCACCTTCAGCAAAAGAAACAGTGAATGCAGTCAAGGGGGGAAGGGGGTGAAAGAGAGCGGTACAAACGATGCGAAAGTAACGAAAACAGTGAGGGAAGGGAGGGTCAGCGTTTGTCGAAACTCAGAAATACATGTCCTTTTTGGAGGTATTCGAAGACTTCTTTCCCTATTCGATGTGTCTGCCCGATATCGAAATATCCCAGAGACTTTAAAGGTGATTTATCTGTCTACTGTTCTAAGCTAGTCTTTCGAAGCTGATCTAGCAGCGGGCAATCTGCCCGACTTACGAAGTGTCTGGCTGGCTAGTAGCCCTTGATGGATCAGGAGCCCCGCTAGGTGGGCCTCAATCCCGGCGGCGAGGAGGAGGAGTCGGGGCAGCATGGTCGGGAAGGGCAGCTCCGTCATGAAAAAACACAGACGGAGAGGAGGGGAGATTGATCCACCATAGGGAGGTTTGGTGTAGCAGACCTTGGCCGCCGTAAGGGCGCGTGGGAACGCGACGAAGACGCGTCTGCTGGTCATACAGGGCGCATGGAACCACCATCAACAACAGAAACAACAAGAATGACCGATGCCAAAGTCCTTTGAAGGCGGTGAGGTCAAAATTACCAATTTTAGGGCCTTCATGCGGTCATAAAAAAACACTGCACATCTCGGAACACAAACGAGAGCGCATAGTGTGACTCTAGAATGCTTGATGTTTGCCTACCTTTAGGTCTAACTGGTTATGTATATCGGCAGCGATTATACCAAGTCGGTGAGGACTGCGGGCACTGAATTCGGAATAACCGCCATCGATTGAAATTCCTGCAGGATATACACAGTCGAATATGTCTTGGTCGGTAACTTCATTG